ATTTTGGCTCATGAAGCTAGATGTAAAGCCACAGGAAGATGTCACACAAAAACTGTGTCAGGCTGGGAAACTTGGGTCAGGGGGCAAAACTGTAGTGTATCAAGAGCATTCAGGAAGACAGAAGTGTCAGGAAAACCTGCAAATTATAAGCTAACTTCCCTTCAACTAGGTATCCAGTGCAATGGCCAGCAAAACATTGCAGGTACTTACCTAAAAAACAATGCACTATAAATAGCATGTGCTGTATTTTTTTAAAATGGGGCTTGAAAAATTATTCTTCAGCACTCTACCCTCTTATGTGACCCTGCTGAGTTGGTTGTTTGTGCTGGTTATGGTGGCATCTGTTGCTGGGAAATGAATTGCTTCCATCCGTCACTGGTTTCAAACAACTCTATTTTCACCATATACAGTGAAGATGAGCAATGAAAGAGGGTTCTAGTCCTTAAGCAGCAATATGGGAAGGCAAAGTGTCTGTTATAAGATATACTCAAAGTTCTAAAAATGGTCTGAGTTTCAGGCTTTTTAAAGTTTCTAATATCTAATATTCTATCAATAAATTATAATTACTTGAAAAAAATCCTTTGGTCTCACTGGAAGTTTCCTAGACAGAGAGTTTTCAATACTGGTTTGGAGTCACTAAGACATCATAAGAAAAAGTCCAAAGTTTAAAAGGTGTTACCCAATAAACCAGTAACTAAATATTTTCTCTGTCCCGTTTGTTTGTGGTGGTATTGCTTGGGAAAGCAGAGGTGGAGGATAACAAATTTCATCTAAGCAGTTATTTTTCTGGGAATTGAAAAATTGTCAATCTTTACAGAGTAAGGAGTAGCAGGAGTTCTAGGGCTATTGCAATGAAACACATGACAAATTTCCTAAGAATTGTGTCTTTCGCTGTGCATGGTCCTTTGGCTGAGTACAGGTTTGACATTACACGAAAAGTTTACTCCTATGATCGTAATGATCACTCCTGTTGAGGGATTACAAGATGCTAGGTTCCTCCAGGCTTCTCAGGGCTTTAAAATAATAGAGAACTCAGAACTTCTGAAATTAATGCTGAGGTTCTGATATTGCAATCATGCCTCAGTGGAGGAGTTACAAAGGGAAAAAAGACTCACTGCAGGGAGTGCCGTCATGCTGCAGCACAGGTATTCTAGCAAAAGATCGGAGGTAGCATTAACAGCCCTGCTCTGACTCTTTACTATGGAAAGCTCTGTATTTTGTTCCTGTTTTAAGAGTTAAAATGTGTAGTGTAGAGTGCACTTATAGGGATGGCTTTTGTCAGAAAAGCTCTCACGCAGCTTTGATCAGCAATTAATATGAATCCAAACTTGCACTGCATTATTTACTATCGTACCCTGCCATGCCTTCATAGGTCTTAATTCTCAGTCTCTGGGCTGTATTCACCTCACCTGGATAATTCCCTGAGCTCTTGGTGACACTCTTTCCCTAAATGTGAGCAAGCTGCGAGCTGGATATGGTGTTTTGATAGCAGCAGGAACCTGTCCCTGGCTCCCTGTCATACGGGAGATGCATGTTCAACTTGTGATGGAGGAGAGGCAGAAAAGCCCACAGGAAAGATGGTAGCGAAGACCAAGTTGACAGAGTAATTCCTTCATCCCACATGTACTCCCTCCCCAGGAAGAGATGCAGCCTTGCTGCATTAATTGAGCTACTGGCGGGAAGCGTACACAGGCATTGACAATGGAGGCGATAAGAGGGACTGCAGGGTATGACCCACCCTGAGACTGGAAGCAGCAGTATGGCCCTTCTCACCAAAAGCCTGATGCTCTTCCTTTATGTTACAGATTTCACACTGACCCAAACTATAGAAGAAATCAAAAACTTGCTTTCTTTGCTAGCATCTGATTTGCTTTTTTCTCCATTCTCAATAGTCAGCTCCATGGTAGCTAACAGCTAAAACAACCCATTTCTGGAAAAAGGGGAAACAAGAAAATTACAGGGCAGATGCAGAAGATCGTATGAAAGGAAAACACCAGATTTTCTTCTCTCAAGTAATGCATGTATATTTAGATGCACTTACAGTGAACATGTAATATACCAAACCACCACCCTCAAGTCAAGTCAAAAATAATAAATAGTATTAGAGACTTTCTTCTGCAATGTTTGCCATTTCAGGGGCAGTAGCTACCTCTGAACTTTCTTTGCACGCTTTACTCACTGTTTGCTCGCTATAAAACTATTGCCATTAACAACCATCCCAGTGATTTCAACTGGAAGATAATTTAGGCTAAACATGGCTTTGCTTTAACAACTGAATATACATAAATGCAATCACTTGGTTTTATTTACGCTTTATGTCTAGCTGAATAGAGTTGTGCATCAGGGGAAGCAATGGGCCTGATTCTTCATCTCTCTCTGTCACCTGTTCACATCATTTCACTGCTGCAAAGTACTCACAGATTTCATTACAAGGCTGACTGCAAACGATCCACATCACGTAACGTACTGGTTTCCATCCAAAGGGCCGGCAGCAGTGGGATGACTCCCCGCAGCCTGTTGGTGTCCCCAGCGGTGGTGCCACCGGAGGAGCCATGCAGCAGCCAGGGTTCTCCCAACCCCATGCCTCCCACACTGGCAGAGAGCGAGAGGCAGAATCACACCACCTGCACCTCGTTACCTAAGGGCTTGCACCAAATACAGCTCAGCTGAATTCAAGAGCTAGCCTCAATATGTAGCTCCAGATCTCACAAAAACACTCCTACTAAGAATAATTTTCCCATCATATGTGCGGTTTTCACAGAGTGTTAATAGATCCTGCTTCGTGGCCCTATGGAACCAGCTCTTTTCCAGCAAACTTAGAAGTGCCATTCTCACTCTCTGTAGCAGAAAGGGCATAAAGCAGTGCACTATCAAGGCCAGTCACCACACACAGGGATACCTGGTATTACAAAAATCAAGCTGGTTACAGAAGATCACACCAACTCAGAAACTCTGTACAGAAATAACAAAAGAGCTTTTCAAACAGAACCTGAAGACAACTTTGCAAGGTTAATACAGAGCCCTTCAGGCTAGCAGGCAGCTTGCTTTCGTTATTCTCTGCCCAGGAAGCATTTATCACTATGAATTCATTGAAAATTTTGAAATACAGTAAAATGAGGAGAGCAGACTTGCAGGAAAACCTCTCCCTTTGCTACAATCTGTTCAGGAGAGAAAGGAAAGGATATTTGTATGCGCATGTAGGAGAGAGAGAGAGAGGTTTGAGGCGGGGGAGTATACCCAGAGGAAACACAAATACCATTTCACAGTGGAAGTGTGAGTGCGAGAACATAGTATCTGTATTTTTTCTAATATTTGTGCAGGTTCCATCAGTGTATAAAGGAAAAAGAATCCTGCTAATTTAAAACAGCTACAATGACTTGCTGAAATGTAAATAAGCTGCTATTGAAATTATGGGGAAAATTATTTGAAAATTGATTGCCTTTTTGACATTTAAGACAAAGGGATAGAAGTTCTCTTACATTATCCTAACTGAAAAAAGCACTTTTTGTCACTTTCAGAACTATAAGAGCATTGTTCTATTATGATGATATTTTAATTTCAATTTTAATACCTCATGATTCTAAAATTTTGGAAAATACATGTTAATCTCAGCAGAAGTAGAAATAATGAAGTTTGCAAACAATATCTGAGTGTGGGGCTCGGTTAGCAGCAGGTGCTCTGCCAGACCACAGGTTCTATAGGATATGAAACCAGAGGGCTGCAGTTCTGACCTGTGCCCCAGGACTGATGTGGTGAAATACAAAAGATCTGTTTATGGTTGCCATTCTGCAAATGCGATTACTTCAGCATTGTCTTAGCCATGCCACGAGTTAGAAATGTTCCCAACTTGACTCTACAACCTTGCTTACAGTGAATATCATTTATCCCCAAGACATTCCTTCGCTGCAGTTAATTGCAGAATGAGGTCCATGCCATCTCTGTGTAAGACAGAACTCAAGATAGATGTTGAAAGAAGTATAGCAGATGTTTAATGGAGAACCAGACAGATTTCTGCAGTAAAATGCATGCCATCAAAAGTCAATAAAACTTACAAAAGGCAAACTGTATTTAACTAAGAGGATGCAAATATCTAGGATTTAAATACCAATCCGCAGTTTGCAACTTTAACCCAAGAGACTAGCAATAGTGCCATTAGCAATGCCATTTAATCTAAAGAAAATGGCCTTTCAGGTAAGATTTCACGTCCATATTTTTGTCCTACACACCTTTCAGGGCAGACCTGACAACAAGCTACATGTTGGGACTACATCATGCAACATGAGATTCCCCATTGCTAATCCAGCAGAGGAGTTTTACTCCTCAGCAGCCCCACCTCTTTGGGTAAATCTCACCTGCCTCTGGAACGGTGTCCTTGCATTAATTCAGCTTAGGAATTGAAATGAAAGCAGGAGGGGAGGGGGGGCGGGGAAATCAATGAGAGGCTTAGTCAATATGACCAACCTAACGCATTAGATTGTTTTGCTCAATTACATTTCTTTTCCATAGCTTAATTTAGATAACCGTCAGGTAAAAGAGGAAAAAATGGCTACATACAGTTAATGCAACAGAAGGTATCAGCTGATTTAAGCAGCTGGCCAAAGCAGTTAGCAATGCATCTATCCCATGGTTAAATTATTCTCCTAGATCTGCATAATACATGCATGACTGATATTTTTATCTAGAGCATTAAACCTAATGGCTGGTTAGTTGAAATACAAAACTGTTCTGAACAAATTCATGAAGTTCAGAGAGCTGGTGTAGGTCCCAGAAATACCCATCTGTCAATACATTTTAGTGGTCCCTGCAGCCTCGTACTGAAAAATCGAAAGACTCTGCATTTATAAAGGGCTGGGTACATATTTGCAGTTACTTGGGTTTAACTATGTATTGATATAATATTCCGAAAATTTGGAGAAAATTGTTTTCAGAATCTGAGATGTAATAGCTCAGCCAACTACAGCAAACAGCTAACTATACTTTTTTGTTTTCTTTCTCTGCAGGTATACCCAGTATTTCCAGTATTGGTAGTAAGTAATAAAACCAGTATTGTTTTGCATTGTCATTCAGCTTCTTGGATCTAATTTCCCAATATCCCTTTCTGTTGTAAATAATGTTTCTCTGAAAATGTGCTCTATAGTGCAGGGACTATGTATTGGCATTCCTCTGTTGCATTAACATGTAACCCTATTATGTGGTCAAAGAGGATGTCACTCCTGACAACACATCTGCCTTCAACTGCAGATTTTCTGATCAGCAGATGAAAACTGAGTGCTATACTGTTTCACAGAAAATACTTGTTGAGCATCTTTTTTTTTTTTTAAAAAAAGTGTTTGCTAATAACAGAGAAGTATAGGACCATTAATTTTCATGCATGTATGTGTGTGTGTAAATTCAAAGAGCAAATGGAAGAATTTATAAATGGAAGAGTTTTCATTTTTGTGAAGTAGCTTAGCAAATGCAGTGTATCTGCTGGAATCTTTGCATTAACTCCAGCAGCCTTTGAACTGGGCTTTACTCCACAAAATAAACAGAACTGTGTTCCTTCACAAAAACCTGCTTTGCTGTATGCAATTAAAGCACCAAAATATTAAACTATAATAAAACTGTAACACCATTATGTAAAGAATTACTATATCAACAAAATAGATTATTAATTAAATAAAACACTTGAAGGGACTAAGTGCACAGTAGCTCAGCTGTGAGTCTCAATTGAGTCCCATACCTGAGAAGTGCACACAGTCATGGCATGTTAGCTGATTACAAATAAAGCAGGGAGGTAGAAATGGGATCCTGCTGTGGCTGACTGAAAGAATATTCTCCACAGCCTCAGTTTTGCAGAGGCTTTAGGACAACTTCTGTGATGCAGGACTATCACAATGATAAAATATCACAGCAGTAAAACGCAATTTGCTATACCAAATATCCAACTGAAAAGCTTCTAATAATTTGGGTAAAACTATCTCGCTTCTTATGCAGGGTCAGGTCTGTCAATTTATAAATCAGCTCAGTTTACTTAAGCTCATGAATGGTGCTGATTTGTTAAGCTCTAGACAGCAAGTTAAATGCCATCAAACTAGCCTCCTTGCAAATGAGAGCAGCATTAACAGCTGAATGCCATGGCATCTGTTTTGCAGCTTTAAATAGTGAAACAGCATCAATGACAATAACATGCAAATGAAAGCCTTCAGTCTTAATAATGTAATTTTCCTGCTGTAGTGTCTCCTTCGGCATTCGCGTGACTGCAAATGCATAGTGATATGCTGTTTTCAAAACCTTCGTTTTATACATATATTTTATAACCAAAACAATGAACTAAATGAAAGAGAAGAAGTTTATGTCACTGTTCTCAGGAATATTCCTGCCATTAATAACAGAAATGGGATGAATGGGAAAATAGCTCTTCGGAGTTTGGTTGTGCTATAGTTTCTTAGTACTGTGTTGCATGGACTATACGGTTGTGTTTTCACTTCACACTCCATACAGCCTTCGTCACCACATCTACCATTTCTGAGCATCAGCAGATGTTGGCCTTTGAAAACTTAATAGGGAAACTCAAATACCTTTTAAATAATGGTGACCTGAAAGGATGCATTGTTGACCTATTTGTATTTAACACTGGACTGATAAGTATAGTTTATCTATTACAAATGGAGAAAATTCTGTTTAACATTCTGTAGGAAATACAAGAGTTTCTGCAAGTCTATGCTTTATCTTTAATCTGCTGTAAATATCTTAGAATAATATGTGGTAGAATTCAACAGATTTCTTTGCCTACATGGAAAGGATGAAGCATGAGCATCTCTTCATGAGCACAAGTAAATACTGATACTCTGCTTGGTTTTTTCATGTGTTTTTTCTTAAATAGCTCAGGGGGAAAATAGCTCTACTTGCATAATGTTCCTGTAAGATAGAAATAGCAGAATTATCGTTAAACAAGGATAGAACCCATAAATTTATCCTGGTCTCCAAGAGAATTTAACAGAAGTACAATTAACACATAAAACCAAACAAGATTAATTAGCTGTGGCTGCTTTAATGGATTCTGCATGATTTCTTCTTTTGTCTATGCTAATACAATGTTTGTGTTCATATCAGCAGAGTTTTTCCCCATCTGGGGACAGGAAGTTACTCTCAGGAGATACAGTTTGGGTTTTATTTTGCCTGGCAGCAGACACTAATGGTGGGTTGGGGAGCGTATTGGCTTTTGTGGGCTTCAAGCTTTTGCTAGTATATAAGGACGACGGGGTTGGGGCAGGGGGGTTATGAAGACTAAACTCCCAGCATACAAAGATGCCACTGCAAGCGATGTTCATTTAACACTTCTAAGACTGCAATGAAAGCAAGCAAAGAAAAATAAAATATATTTACCTCTGTGCACATATATGTATCATTCTCTATTCCTTTTTTACCTCAAAGGATCTTGTATTAAAGCAGCTCATCATTGAAGTTTGAACACAAAGAAAGAGTGGTCATTAAGTAAACATCCTTTCTGATCATCTAGAAGATGAAGGGAGAAAAAAAAAAAAAATCAGAGCTTTCCCATTAAGGTCATTTGTACCTGCTGTTGTCTATCAGTTGAATTAATAGGTTCTCTGATCATTTCCAGCATTCTTGATTCCAATGCTGGCCCTTTCAGCATTTTTCAGCCATGTCTGGAAAAATACTGGTGAAAGTGTTAGCAATTAATGAGTCCCAAAACCATTTCATAATTTTAAGCAATGCTTACATACAGTATATAAATATTCTGAAAACATTATTTTACTTGCTAAAATAATGATTGTACAATTTTACATAGACCAATGCATCAAAATGTTCATTATTGTAACCAAATACCAAAGCTACTAATCTGTACATGTATGCCTTCAAAAAGTTGAATTTTCTAAACTATAGCTTCTATCTTTTTCCCTGTAAAGCAGATCTCCACTAATTATGCTAAACAGTTTGTTATAAAGGGTATAATTAGATACAGGATAGGATAGACATGGTGTGCAAATAGCTCTGTGTGGGTGATTATCACCTTAAAGCCTGCTGGTGGCAGATGAGTCAGAGTTTAGAGACAGACCATGCACCCAAGTGCAAGATGCAATCATGATAATCAAATGGTATTTTCTGCTTTGTTCTGTATGGTTTTGTTCTTCTTTATAGCCAATTTCGAATTAAGAGAACTTTTTTTTTTTTAACAATAACAAATGCAAGACACAAAAGTAAAAAAAAAAAGACTGAATGGGCACTCGTTTTATTTTATTGTTTTCTTAACCTTGAAAGATCTAGAAGGTATTTTTCTGGAACTAAAATAGTGTCAGGATGAGCGTAGCTTTATTTGTTTTACATATTCATTGTGAAATTTTAATGTGATAAATATATGTCTTAAAAGGTTGTGAGAGCAAACACTAGTGGATTTTTTTTTTCTTTTTTATAACAACACAACGAATTTTGGACCTGATTTTGCCCCCTTGTGGTAACTGAGAAGTTCTGTCTTTAAATTTAGAGTCATGGGATCAAAGCCAATACAATGCCAAGCTCTGGACTAGATTATATACACAACACCCGCATATGTCAGTAGGGTATAAACATGCATAACTAGGTTGTACATTACTTTTCTATTATTATTTGAGGTCAAGTTTTACAGAGAGAGCTGTACTGTTGAGACACCATTAAGATGTTTATCTCCTTAGGACATTTAAATATTGTCTTCAGACTGTATATATTATTTTGGACATATTGGCAAAATGTTCTCATTTCAATTCAATTTTATCCAAATCTGACTTTTTAATAAATAATACTGTTAATCAGGCTCCTAGTCTAAGGCAATCACCTTATCCACACAACTGATTATAATATCAAGCCAGTAACAGTATTCGTTTTCCCTCCTTTAATACTTCAAAGCACCCAGAATTTTTCACTTTAACAATTAGCTTTTCCATTATATTAAAATATTACTGGGCTGAAAGAAAATACTGATAGCCTATGTGGTATAATGAACTCATTTGAGCACTGGGTCTGAAAGAAATTTAACATTCCAAATAAAAGACATTATGAGTAGTTTATTTACCTGGTAGGATTCATAACAAAGCCAGTTTTCTTCTGTATAACTAGGATTTCACCCTTGAAGTTCAGTAAGCAGAGCACCTGCGCTGACCCCAGCGGCGAGCAGAAACCCTCTCTTTGTGGAGCGGTTTCTAGCACAGAGTCAGAAACTACCAACACTGCTCCAGGGAGCACCAACACATTGTTGGGGTGGGATTTGGGCAAGCCTTTGTTTCAGTTTTTGTTTTGCCAGATCCACCAATTTTAACAGATAAGAAGAGCCATGCTCACCAGTCTAGTAGATATGGCCACTGACAGTTTAGTATTTTTTCTCATTATTCATCCCAGTTTACCTTCATCATCTTGGGTTAGTTAAAAACAGTGTATCAGTCTTTTCAATGCTTTTTTGACTTGCTGTAATATGCAGGACATTACTTAGTTCACAGTTACCTTTGTTTTAACCGTTAATAAACAATCAAGCGACAGGTCACTATAGAAAATAAAATATCAACATTTCAATATGTACCATGGTACCCATGCAAAACACATTGCACTTGCAATATACAAGTTTAGCTGCAGTTACTCAAGGAAGTTTAGAGAGAGCAGACATGATCTACAAAGATATTTAAAAATCTGATTATCTATAAAGCGTGGGGAGAAATTGCTGGGAAAAAATGCACTTCTATAATTCCCCCTCTCCTCTTTTTCCTTCTGTCCCTTAGACGCGTAATCAGTTTATTTCATAGAATATAAGGGAAGAATGAGGTTTCCAAATCAGCATTCTGATTTTTAAAAAAAGATCTTGATTTACTGTTCATCAGTTGTGAATTACTGTACAATAATCCTAGTTGACCAGCCAATTTCAGCATCTTTGTAGGAAAAAGAAGAACCAATCAAAATAAAATGGAACAACCCCTGCAAACTATCAACACAGTAATTTACTTTTTTTGTCATGAGAAAGTACCTAAATATTTCCTTCCAAAAATACTTGAATTCATTG